GCACAGTGAGGCAGTAGGTGGAAATGGGAAAAAATTTAGTTGTCTAATCTTGAAAACTTATTTAACTTTAGAATCTACATATATTAAGTGAACTTTATTGATAAATTATTTATATTAAATCCCTTAGTTACCAGGACTCTAAACATTTGAATATTGAAGTTAAAAAAAAATTAAAAATTTTAAATAAGTAATTTACGGTGTGTTTTATGTCAATTACATCTACGTTTTTGTTACAAATAATTAGTACATGTTATTCTTGAGTATTTAGAGATAAGAAAAACCAATGCGTAAAATAAATATGTCATAGCATGTTATCTCAGTTAAACTTTGAAAATCAAAGATTAAAAAAAAAAATCTTTAAGAATTTATTTTTTGCCGCACTTTAACTAATAATTACCATAACTTGCCATGTGCTATCTTATATATATTTAAGCTATATGATGCTTCAATCAAGTTTAAATTGAATGTTTTACACTCACGTTTATGGTTGGTTTTAATGGTGCTACTGGCCAAAACATTTATAAACAAGTTTTATCAGAACTTGATATGAACATCGATTTAAAGTATGAAGAATCATTACTTATTACTTGTTTAGTCCCATTGGATTTGACTGGATTTAGCAACAGAAAGAAAAAGGTGCCTTTTTGGAGAAGTTAAAATTTGTCATTCACAGCCTACTGTAGACCCATAAGATTTACTTACAAAACGGAATCCAAGGAATCAGTGATCGAAGAAGATCAGAACATTAAAAGTGAGATAGGAAGCTTGGGTTTGAATTTATTAGAGGTTTGCTGTTCTTCAATTGAAGTGAATTGTATTATAGAACTATCAATGATTAATGGAAAGGTTCAAACGATATTATTGAAGGAAACTAACTCATACCAATGTTGTTCAGTGTGTGGTGTCTCTCCAAAAAATATGAACAGTCTTGATGTTTTTAATATAGATTATACTCATGGAGAGTTCAAATATGGTTTTTTCCATTTTTCATGTATAAATTCAATTTTTTGAGATGGTTTTGCACATTGCATATAAAAAAGAAACACAAAAGGGGCAAGCAAGATCTAACGAACACAAAGGAAAGGCATCTCTAGCTAAAAAAAAGATTCTGACTGATTTTATGAACAAAATGGGACTTGTTGTTGATTTCCCTAAAAGTGGTGGTTCTGGAACAAGCGATAATGGCAATACCTCAAGGCGTGCTTTTGCAGCATATGAACAAACAGTTGAAATTCTGGGTATAGATCAAAACTTATAATCAGATTTTACATAATCTTGGTAACACTCCCTTCAGGATATGAAATAGTCAGCTTAAAGTTCAAGGATTATTGTTTTGACATTGTTAGACTATATGTGCTCCTTTATCCATGGTATAACATGGCTCGATCAGTTCATAAAGCATTGATACATGGACATGACATAATTAAAAACCTTACATTACCCTTTGGGCTTATGTCATAGGAAGCTCAAGAGGCTAGAAATAAAGATTTCAAATCTTCTCACGAAAATTTTATCCAAAAAACATTCAGAAAAGCAGCAAGTACTGATCTTTTCAATTGACTTCTAGTTTCCAGTAATTCTGTTAATTCATCACTGCGCAAATCAACATTACACTGAACAAATCATAAAGCATTTTCTTCAGATGTTTTACAATTACTTAAACAATCTTTAAACGATGTTGTTGTTTTATAATTTTTTGATGTAATTTAAAATTTAACATATTTTTTGCTCTATTTTTTTGTTTTTATTATTACAAAAACATTCAAAAAAATTGTTACATAAAAAACCAATACCTAAAAATTAATTGTTATTTAATATAGGTGGGTCGAAAATCCGATAGAACATTTAAATATCAACTTACATATTTGTAACTAAGGAAAGTATCTTTTAATAAAAAAAAAAAAAATGTGCAAAATATTATTAGGATAGTTATATAACAAGGATGATTGCTCAACGAACTTGATTTTATGAGACCTAAGTTTAAAAAAAGAATAAAAACAAATGTAATTGAGTTTAGAAAAAGATTTGACACCCTTTTGCAATACACCTTAGAATTAACTTTTTTTTTAAATGAAAAAAATAAAACTGATTTATAATGAATAGAACCTCTATATCAAGAAAATACGATTTCCAATATAAATATATATATATATATATATATATATATATATATATATATATATATATATATATATATATATATATATATATATATATACATAAATACATTTATATATATATACATATATATATATATATATATATATATATATATATATATATATATATATATATATATATATATATATATATATATATATTTTAGTGCTAAATATTTTTGGGTGACAACTAATTTTAGTGTTTGTAGTTATGTAATACTAATGATTTCATCACATTCATATTGAAATTTTGATCACATATTTAAAACTATGTTTGCAAATTAATATTTAACTTCTCAAGTTTAGCTTAATTTGGTATTATTTAATTTTAGCTTGTTGAAAATGAGTGAAACAATAAGTTCTTTAAATGTTCCTTTAACACGAAATCAAACTGCAATATGGTTAATTGGTCAACCTGAGAAGAATATACCAAACAATGTCCTTCCAACGATGGTTGAAGTGTTAAAGACGTTTTTCCACTATCACAAAGCATTGAAACAAACAGCTCCAGCCAGTGCAAAAGCAACATCTAATGGTTTAGCTCACATCTGGAAAAAGGCCAGAACTCCAATGACTTACTAGCCTCATATTGTATCAAAAGTAAAAGCATGTGTTGATAAATATAATTTAATTAAAAAGAATAAAGGAAAAGCTAGTAAGTCACAGAATGCTAGAGAGAGATTTTATAGTATCAAATTAGATTTACTGTTTGACATTTTACACAAGGATGCAAACAAGCTAATTAAAATTGATGAAGATAAAATGTTTCTGGAAAACCAAAAGAATGCTCGTATGATAAAGATGGCTGGAGAAGATGTAAAATTATCTCAACAAAAAAAGCGAACAGCAGAGCGTCAACAAGCAGAAATAAAAAGAAAGCAGAATTAGGAAGAGAGAAGATAACAAGCAAATGCTGCACTTACCCCTAGTTGTAGCCACTTTAGTCTTGATTGTGATAGTGATAGCGAAGCAACTAAAGACATTGACATTCCTCAGTTTTGCTTGGACCCAGCAGTGGGCCCAACATAGTTCTATTTGAACAATTTCAGAAGTGTTGACCAAGCATAAATCAAGCCAATTATGCTCCATTGGCTGAACTATAGATACACCCATCTTGCTGAACCATAGCTTCAGCAACTTAGATCAGAGACTTGCTCCGTTCTGCAGCCTTTCTTACCAGATGACTCTTTGCACTTACCAAGAGAAGACTACAAAGTGATGATTAAGCTGTGCCTTTTAAGTTTGGGTTTTCTGTTATGAGGCTATGCCACCAAGAAGTATTGCTTTAGCATGCCAGAAACTTATTACATGGCTAGATGGATAGCTAAAGTCATCTACTGTATGAAGATATATCTCTTAAGAAATGAATTCAAGCTGACTATGAAAGAACCAAACAACTTATGCGAATTTTGTATCATTGCAGCTCATATCTATGTACCAGCATGGGTTGCCTGTCCATTTGCAAATGATGCTCCAGCAAATGACTTGATTCTCTTCACAAGAATTTAACAATATTCTGGGATCAAACAGGTCATTTTAAATGCTGCTATGAAGAAGCTTCAAAATCAAACTTGGTAAATTGGGTCAGAAATGATTCCACTTTCATTATTTTCAGACAGGGCTTGTGACACAGAAAAAAAATTGATTGTTGAAGCTATAATTCACAGTGGAGCTGATTGGAGTGTCAGGGGTATAAAGTGTCCAGCTGCAAAATTAAACAAGTTGGAAATAAAACCACTACATGAGCTTATTACATCATCATCAACTGATGCTTTGCAGTTACTTGGTCTCGATGTAACCATTTTATTGGGAACCAATCCAAAGACCTGGGAGGAAATTGCTTAATTTCGTTATACTAAAGCAATTGTTAAATCTTATATAGCATTGTTAAATCTGTGAAAGTTATCAATGACACTGCTAAGCGTTCTGTTGCTCTTATGAGCACATTTAATCAATCCATAACAAAAATTGAATCTGAAATGCAGAAACTAATACAAGTTGTTGATAACAACAGAAAACGCATTCCAGATTGCCGCAAAAGCATCTTAATGACATATGCCACTTTTGCTTTAGACTAAACTTTTGATCATGTAAATAGTGCAACATTTGAGTATTATTTGCATTATTTAAGGAACTTTTTGAAAATGAATTATTGTTTATCATAGCTATAACTCATGTTTTTTAAGTATTGGTGTTGCGGCGCATGCTTTTAACATGTTTTTTTTTATTTTCCTTGAGCAGTCCGTAAATATTATACAAAACATCTAAGATTTTGTACAGAAGTTTTTTTCAATCAAAGAAACAATATTTAAAACTGTGCAAAATTTAATTCAAAAAACGTTTTTTAGACAACCCTAATATATTTATATATGTATATATATATATATATATATATATATATGTATATATATATATATATATATATATATATATATATATATATATATATATATATATATATATATATATATATATATATATATATATATATATGTATATATATATATATATATATATATATATATATATATATATATATATATATATATGTATATATATATATATGTATATATATATATATATATATATATATATATATATATATATGTATATATATATATATATATATATATATATATATTGAAAAAGTACTTTCCTTATATAGAACTTTTATTTACTATTTATCTGTGTTATTGTTTGGCAGATTCTTAAAAAAAAGTTATATCGATGATTAGAAAAGGTTTTACTTTATCTTCATTAAGTTATATTCACCTCATTAAGTTAATTTATATTTTACTTTATATCTTCATTAAGTATTATGGAAATTTAAATAAAAAATACCTTAATTGTTTATGGCTTTTTAAAATATACTGAACCTGCATCAAATTAAATTTATTTAACTAATAAGGTTTTTAATGTAATTGAAAAATTTAATTTAAATACGTTTTTGTTTTTACAGCAAACAAAATAACAAAACTAACGCAGCTTGTTTTATTTCTTAGATATTTGATATGATTTTTTAATTTAAATAACATTCCTTTGTTAGTTGTTAATGCATAAATTTTTTAATATTATGTTTCTGCATATACTTATGTTTTTTCTTTTATAAGTGTCTAAATTGAATAATAAATGTATTTGTTTACTGTTGAAGTTTTTTTTTAACAATTTCATTTGCACGCGATTTTTATGGTTTTTATCTTTATTATTAGTTAGCCTTTTTTGTCCTATATCAATGGCGGCCGAACCAATGCTCGGGGCCAAAAAAACGCTCGCAGAGACTTTTTTAAATGCCCGTTAAACAATTTTGATATTTAGGAGACAACCAACTTAGTAATGTGATATTTCTAGCTACCTTAAATATCAATTCACACATCAAAAAACTAGTTTCAGACGGTCAAGTCACCACTCATAATAATTATATTGCTTTGATGCAAATGATTATAATAGTTATTTGTCAACTGTATTTTCGTAAAAACAAATATATTTTGACCGCAAAATTGTTTTTAACTTTTTTTTGCCCTTATCCTAAGAACTCTGGCCACCCCTGTCCTATATATTAAAATTATTTAACATATTTATTTTTTTATGACATTTTTACTTTAAATTATAATTATTTAATACCTTATTAATGAAAAAAAGGATTAAAAAAAAAGATCATGCTAAATTTGTAAACAAATTCAACATTATTATATTTTGAAAGTCATTATGTGAAAACTCAAAACGCGATTCTTCAATCACAAACGGTAAGCCTTCATCGAACAGCAGTGTATATAAAAATTAAACGTGAGAAGTTTAGGAGTTTATCAAGAAACAACTGTTTTAAAAAAAGAATAATTAAAAGCTAGAATTCTGTGCCAGTGCCATAATTTTCAATCCGGGTCTTTAAACTGTTTTAAGAGCAAATTTCACACTTAAAAAAACAAATGGCTGTTATTAGATATTTACTTGTTTTGTATCGCTTTTGCACGCTCTACAGCATTTGTAACATATTCTCATGCTCTGTATCAACGTATGTTGCTATTACAATAATGCTATGATTAGACATTCTTTCTTTGGATTCCAAGTTTATTAGATCCGTTTATATGATCCGTATCTATTATCTATTATTCATTGAGTAAGATACCAGAAACATTGAGCGCCTTCAATTGCCAAATAGTAGGATTTGATTCGCAGCGATCCGCGAGCATAGTGTTGTATAATTGATTAACCAACTCACCATGTATAAGTGAAGAATACGGTTTGCTAGTAAGCCGTTGATCATGATAGACATTCATCAGGAAAAATTTCAGAGACTTTATTTGAAATTTCTAAATAAAAGTATACTATTTTTAATCTAAGCTTAGTTCATTAAAAACTTTATCAAGAATTAAATGAAAGAATTGCTTCAATTTTTTTTTTTTTTATTTGGTTAAACTTTTACTAAACTAGTTAAATTTTCTATTATTCTTTTAAAACTTGTACTTTAAATGAGGGGAATTCTTTCTATAATTAACTCAAATCTTCCGTTTCTATTAATTGTATCACTCTTTAATTTTCCTTTTTTTGTTTTTTGTTTTTTTTTTTAATTTTTATTTTTGTTCTTTAGGTGTTCCAAGAAGACCTAACGGTCTTGTCACAGAGCACCGCGGAAGTGCAATTAACCAGGAAGTTCACACCACCTTCTTTACCGTGATGCAAAAATATGTCTAAAGCTCGTTTTGAACCTGGATTTCCTGCTTATAAAGCAAGCGTTCTAACCACTGCGCCACGTCTGTTTTGAAAATGCTTTACATAGAGAGTGTCTTTAAAGGCATCTTTGAAGGCTAATTTGAGTAAATATATTAGGGTGGGTCACTTTTGAAAAATTTTTGAATTTAGGTTTGGCTGGGCATTTTTCTTATGTCTTTGACCGTATGATAATGAGAAACAATTTTTTTTTATTTGCATTTAATGTTTAGTCAGGTAATTTTTAGACTGAAAATTTTAGTTTTATCATAAATATATCGTTTATGCAAAGTTATGAAAAATGGTTTGCTGCTACTCAATAAAATAAAGTCTAAAAAGATTCCTGAGTCTTAGTTAACCTAGTTACATTAACAATATATTAAAGTTACATCAAAAATTAAAATTTTATGGTATATTAAGTCTATACACGTAATAAGACATTAAAATATTGATAACAGCATTTTCCGCATATTTTTCTAAAATAAGTTGTTTACTCATAATAAAAAGTTAAAATACTGATTACAAAATTTTCATCAGATCTTTTTTTGATTGGCACACAGGCATCAGCTCTCTATGAGCCATTGTAGCTCTTATGAACCCATCTCTTCTCTCGGCATCAAACACCGACATTGAAGCCCTGGTAACCTTTTTCACAATGCGTTCAATAGATTGACCGTGAATAGGGAAGTTTGGTACAACCATTGGATTATTAATAAACTGTATAATATCATCTCTAATCAAACAACAAGTAAGAACCGGTTCACTGATCTCCTCTGTTTCCCAATTGATTAAATCTATTAGATTATTTGATTCAGTATTTATCACTGGTATTCTTCTAACCCTGCATTTTCTGTCTGCAACATCCTTATTTTTTTTTAAATCAATTATTTTTTGCACTGCAAATTTCCTTTCTCCTTCATCTGAACTACAGAGCATTGTCTGAAGAATGCATTCACTGTGTGCATTCCAGGCAGAAGAGCAGACATGCGGTAATACAATATCCTTCACAAACTTGTTCTGTTTTTTTACCAAGGCTAGTTGCTTAAGGATATGATGTGGACCTTGAATCCAGCTATGTTTAGTCTAAAGTCAATTACTTTTCTTTAGCATAATCACAAATGTATTACAATTATTAAAGTAAATTATAGTATTTAAGTAAAATATTGTCTTATATCATTATTTACATAACTAAATTTCTAACCTTAAGATCGAAACACATTTAAAAAAAAAAGAAGTATATAAAATTTTTAACAACCATTTAAAGAAATAAAAATAAAACCTGTGTTAAGGTTGGTTGAATCTCCTCCAATTGTAATTAATTGGTTATCAATGCCATGTGCTATTATCCAATCATATAATTGTTTAGCAATATGCTCAGCAGGTGTTCGAGCTTCTCTCTCCTCTGAATTACTTACAAAGTGGAATAAATATTTTCCACCAGGTTCAGAACAGACATTATAATGATCTTCTTTGATCTCCCTAGGATAAGATTTACCATCATTGCCATATACAACTGTTTTAGTAAGGTCTTTTCTACCATCAAACATAATTCATTGTATGCCCTCTTTCTTAACTTCATTATTATGTCTCTCTTTACAGACATTCATTACTCTTTGCTTTGATCTCTCAATTTTTTTATGATTTAGAGCTAGGTGTTTATCAAGTATATGATCTTTCAAAAAACCTGCATCTTTGGCTGCTTTTAATGTTGCAGTGCTTATTGATGCAGTTGCTCTGTTACTTGTACCAAATCGTAATGCTGACAAAGCGATATGATTTACATTTAAAGTATTTAGCTGAGAAACTTTTTTTATTTCTGGTAAATAAAGATTGTCATTATAATCATTCTCAGCATTGTCTGACTCCACATCATTTTGAGATAATACTTCAGAATACTGTACAGTCTCAATCCTATCTCTCTTTGATTTGTTCTGCTTTCTTTGATGGTATTTTTTTTGTCTGGATACTTCTTTTTTATCAACTGAACCTATTTGCATTCCACTTTTAGAACCAACTTCATCCCTCTGTGACTTTAAAAATTTAAGTTCAATAATGGGAATTTTATTTTCCTGAAAACATTTGCAAACAATATGAAAAACTTGGTTGCAGCCATAACAATCGGATTTTTCGCAAAATTTTATTGAACATTTACATTTAGCTATGTCAAACAGTTTATCTAAGATTAATTTATGATCAGAAAGTTGCTTAGATGTTTCCCTACCTATCGCCAGATTATATGCTTTTTTCCAGTCATATATGATTCTTTCTTTTCCTCTTTTATCAGATATAATGGGTATTAGTAGATTAGCTTTTTTCCATAAATATTTTACTGAGGTCCACAATTTTTCAGAAATTAGCTTTAAATTTTGGTTGTTTTCTTCAATCCTTCTAAGAAAGAAACCATATCTTAAAATATCTCTTGAAGTTGGTAGTTCTGACTCTAATAATGTTTTTCCTGTACCAATTAGCTTTGTTAATTTGCATTTAACTTTATCACGAGTGTTTTGAGCCATTCTTTATAACTGTAAACTTGTTTCTATACAATAAACACATGCGTTATTATATCTTCCTTTTAATAACTAATAAAACTGCTACTAGTGGTCTGACTTTACCGTACATAAACAAAGTTTTCAGAGATACGTCATCAATACATTTTAAAAAATTAAATGTTACCCATTTCTATGGTAAAATACCCCCCTTAGTTGCAGTATTTTAGGATCATATTTTGACATTTTTATTGATAAAATAGGTGTAGTTTAAGATATTTATGGATTTAAAATGGTTTGAAGATGGCAAAAGTAAAAAAATTGACAAAACTCTGGGGAAATTATATATTTATGATAAAACTAAAATTTTCAAGCTGAAAATTACCTGACTAAACATTAAATGCAAATAAAAAGAGAATTGGTTCTCATTATCATACGGTCAAAGACATAAGAAAAATGCCCAGCCGAACCTAAATTCAAAAATATTTCAAAAGTGACCCACCCTAATATATATATATATGTATATATATATATATATATATATATATATATATATATATATATATATATATATATATATATATATATATATATATATATATGATAAATTGGTTGTTAAATAAATAAAATAGTTTAAGATTTGTGACTTTTAATACCTTTTATACGGGTTTTGTATTTTAATACAAACTCGTGACAAAATGCATAATTTTACATAACCTAAAAAATTTGTCACACATGGCTGCGGGTGAGGTTTAGGCTTATACTGATTTTATAATTTTTTTCTATTGTTCAACAAATGATTGATAAAGCATTATGCAAATCACAAACCATTGATAAAGTATTATGAAAATCATAAATCATAGATAAAGTATTATGCAAATACGATTATTAAATCAAAATAATAGTCAATGATGATTTTATATAACAAATAAAGTTTTTCATTTTTAATCTTACGGTACAATGCATTTGAAATATAATGCCTTATATAGTAATCTTAAACGTAAACTTGTTGTTAACCTCAAGCTTACAAATTGGTATAAATTATATTGCGTATTTATATCTAGCGTATAAAAAGTAGTTTTAAGTAGCGTATAAAAAGTTTAATTTTAAGATAAGGAGTTTTCAAACAAGATTTTTTTGTTTATTTGGAACAAGATTATCAAAACATATGATAAAATGGAATCCAATCAAACTGATATTTTTCTCAACGAAAAAGAATCTCAAATTATAATTCCTTTGTTTACCGGTAATACAAAGTTTGGAAACATGACAGCGTTCTACTTTCAGAACGGCGAACATATTATCCAATTTGAGGTATTATTTTAATAATTCTTACTTAAATGTATATACATATTGTAAGGAACAATTCGATTTTTTGAAACTAGAGGCTAGTTTAACAAATTATCTATTACAGACTTTATCAATAAATATTGATTATTGCTTTACCAGTTTATTTAACTTTATTTTAAGTGTAAAAACGAAAATTCACTAAAGTGATTTTAATGGTAATCTAGCAAACTCTTTATGCTTGGTTTATGCATGACCCATTATTGGTGCCATACCGGTCCACCATTGGCAAACAAGCATGAATCAAACAAACTGTTTTTCACCATTTTAATGCTTGGTCCAAACATGGTAGCCGTTTTATTAACTACCCGTTAAGAAATTTAAGAAATTTAACGTAAAGATGTGAAAAGTTACATAAAAATGTGCAATGGCAAAGCAACTACCCGTTGCTTTTCCATTGCACATTTTTATCTTACTTTACGTTAAACTTCTTTGCTTTTCAGATTGTTGTTTTTATTAACAACTAATACTTAATAAAATTTATTTATAATGATCAATACTTAAAAAAGTTAAATTAAGAAACGTGATAACATGCTGACAAATTTAGATAAAAAATGTCGACGTTCACCACCCAAAAGAGAAAAAAACATTACCGGATACAAAACAAAAAGGAACAAAATAATTAAAATAGATAAAAACAATGTAGACTTAAAATATAAAAAACTGTTAATTTAGCACAACGCGATGAATTAAAAAAATACTTGTATTTTAATAAAAGTTTATTAAAGTACTTATACCACATATAGTACATATTGTTCATAGACAAGTCAATAAGTTTCAATATAGCAAAAGATAATTTTTTTTACGATCATTTCTATTCGATGCATTATGGTGGAATTAGTTGAAAACATCCCCAGACCTGATAAAAGTCATATAAAGTCAGTTACGCTAAATAAATACGTAATATAATTAGTCGCAATTTGTAAATTTGAGATAAAGAGTTAGCAAAAAAAGCTCCGTGTTATTGAGAAAATGCGATTTTGGTTCTATTTTTCAAATATAAATTTGGGCAAAATGACAAGTTTTTTTAGTATCATTATATTATTTTATTTATAAGTTAAAAGATAATTTAATGCCGAGTAAAACTTGTACGCAAAGTTTTCAAAATGTATTGTTTGTGAGTTATAGCCAAGGGCTGTCGACTCTTCAATATTTACATAGTTAAGAGTGTAATTGTATGCGTTAGGCATTCTGGGATGTTCTGGTAGTATAGAATTACGTTCACAACAACAAACTTGGCTGAAACTCTGCAAAATTTTCTGTTTTATATTGCGTTATTCTTTAATAAATAATATTCTTTATTGTTTAGAAATGCCTTCATACTGTGCTGGAACTAACTGCGCAAATACAAGTGGAATTTGCATATATTATTTTGGAAGTTCAATTTTTATTTAAGAAACACTGAGGGAATAAGCCTTCTCCATAATGCAATTTCTACAGTGATATATAAGACTATATTTAAAACAAGTTTTAAATATAGTCTCATGGTAGGGAGTTTAGTCACGTGACTTTTTAATGGGGAAAAAAACGCAATTTGTTTTTGAAAAATTTCGTCCAAAAAATGCACGATCATATTTGATAATTTACCACCTTGAAATATTAGTGTAACTTTGGCAATCTTTTGTTGGTCAGGAAATATTCCTTGTTTTATTGAGCAATAAACACTTTGAAGAGTATAGTTTTTATGATCTCGTAAGATCCAATAATAATGTTACTATTTATTTTGTCCTGACCACTTGCTTTATTTATTTATTTCGTCCTTTGAAATAAGCTTTACAATTTTTTAGAACATAACAACATAAAGCTTTGAAAAATCATTTAGCCCCGTTGTTACAAATTTAGATATAATATTGTGTATAATACACATGCATAAACTTTTTCTTTAATTTTTTTTTTAAAATACAATTTTCTATATCCAGTCGTCAGGGGCACCAAGAGCCTTCACGCTGGTTGGGACGGACAACCCCGATTGGAGCCCATATTTTTTAAAAATCTTCATTATCATTATTGGATGACCTTTTTTATAAGTACCTCTTTTTTCTTTGGTGCCTCTTATACATCTGCCACTCGGTATAAACTGTTACTTTCGCCGACCTTGCTATCATCATGCTTAACATTGAGCACCACTTTTAAACAATAAAAACCACTAATAATTTTTTAATTGTGATGCCAAAAAAAAAAAAATCAAATCTCACCACCACCAAATATTCGTGGAATTGTCACTGTAAACATTATTTAGTAGAAACATTTGTTTAAGTGAACAGAATATAAAATTAAACTGTGCTTATAAAAAAAAATTATAAGCAAAAAATTAAATAAAAACAAGCTCCATTCCCACATCTACTCTATTGACCATTTCCTTCACCCCACAATCTTTATAAATTTGCACATCCCATAGACGAGACATATTTTCAAAGTATTATACTCTTTTTGAAGTAATCTTTTATATTTTCTTATACCCAGCGGGCCTTTTGACGTCCTAAGGACGTTTATAAGACATCTCAAGTCTTGTCCGTAAGACATCCTTAGTTGGTCTCAAATGAAAGACCTGAGGACGTCTATTCCAAACGTCCTAGGGACGTTTATTGTAGACGTCCTAGAGACGTCTTTTCAGCCGTCCTATGGACGTCTCTGGCAGTTCTCATGTGAAAGACTTAAGGACGTCTTATTCAGACGTCCTAGAGACGTAAATTTATCTAGACATTCTTTTAAAAGTTATATAAAAATGCAATTATATGCAATACACACCTTAGATATAAAAAGGTATAAAAAGAAGTCAAAGTTCATAGAGTGTAATTTCATATATTTGAAATAAATTATTAGTTTTACAAAAACTTAAAAAAATTATACAAACAAAGTTACACTTTTCAAATTAAAAACTAATATATTTTGTACAGTATAATCGATAGTATATTATAAGTAAAAAGAAAATAACTGAAAAATGCAAAATAAATAAAAAAACAACAGTTGATTGAAGTTAATTGAGCCATCATTTATCGATATCGATATTGGTGGATTTTCTATTAAATGGGTCAGAAGAATTTCTAATTAATCTTTCAATATCTTTGCATGAGATCCATTTTGGTTAAGCTTTTATTTGAGCTTGAAGCAGCATCTAATGAAAGCAACAAGACATGGTTCATTAAGATCATAAAATAAAATACATGTCATGTTCCATAGCCAAAAAAATTGAGAAAAAATAAGTTTTTTATTAAAAGATCGTTTTTAATTTTAAAAGTAAATTAAACACAATAATAAGCTAATAAAAATACCAGTGATAGCAAAACATAGACTTGTCAACTTTTTAAACTTTTTTTTCTTTTTAGACCATTCATGCTGCATTCTAAAAATGGTGTCTTGTCAGTCTACATATAAAAAAGATGATAAATGTCATGCTGTCAAACATAAATGTTAAAATTTTAACTTATGCTAATTACTTACAAGAGCAAAATATTTTTAATTGTATCAACTAAATTTTTACCGCCAAATAATGATAACTGTTTTACCTAAAAAGAAACAATACAAAAGAAACATTGAAATTGGTCATGACAATTCAAAAGAAAAAGTTGTAATAATATAACATATAAAATATAAAGATCAAACTCATGCATACTAAAGTGATGTATTCGATATGTCCATTTGCAATTTTTCTTTTCAAAACATTAAAAGTTCATCTGAACTTTTAAGTTGCTTATAAACTTTTGGATCATTATTTACTAAAAAGTTTTTAATTTCAGCAAGTTGGAGCATAACTTTTCTCCTAAACTCTGAAAATTAAAATATATAAGTGAAGCCATATTTATACGAAAAAATCTCAAGTTTCATGCTTAACTTAAAAAAAGATATAAACAAGTAAAGTTCAAAATAATTTTAAGGTTTTTGTCTAACGCCAATAACTGTAAAGAATTGCTACCTATATACGAACACAATGACTCCACAGCCCTGATTGCTCTGTTGTTTAAGAACATTGCAGACATCACTCTATTTGTAGAATACACTAACATAATTTACATTTACATACATTTATAAAAAACCATTATAAAAAATACAAGTTTAGCATTGCAACAAGTATGCAATACTTGACCGAATCAAAGCGATATAGTAAAACTAAATTTTTTATTTCCATTTAGAGCTGTATTTCCAACAGTATATAACATTGATCATTACCCACACACACACACACACACACACACAAACACACATACATATATAAAAAATAAATATGTATGCATCATGTAATATATGAATAAATATGTATGCATCATATATATAAATATATATATATATATATATATATATATATATATATATATATATATATATATATATATATAAATTATGTATATATAAATAATTATATATACAACCCACAATAGAACAATCATCAAATTAAATGAAACAACACAGTAACAACTCCTAGGTATCAACATAAGTAATAAACTGAATAAGTGTATATACAATCACATAATGGGAAAAATCAAAAAATTGAATGAAACAACACAAGAAGGAGACCTAGGCATCAATATAAGTAATAATCTGAAATGGAAAGACCACATTACAAGGATAACTAAAAAAGCTTACTCGAAATTAGGTAGACTAAAGCGGACATTTAAATTCTGGTCAACTGACTTCTTTACTATGATATTTTATCTCACAACAAATAAATATTTAATTGCTACTATAAAAGGATTACAAAAATTGTACTCTGCAAAGATTTGTAATATCTATGCTGTAGAAGAAAATAAACAAATTGTATATATATATATATATATATATATATATATATATATATATATATATATATATATATATATATATATATATATATATATATATATATATATATATATATATTATATATATATAACATAGACACACAGAGTATCATTACTATTCTATAAAACATCAACTGAAACGTCTTGTTGCAATTTTGATATCTTTTGTTAAAATTTCCTCATTATTCTGGT